GATGAGCAGCGCTGTCGAAGGGTCTTGACTGCATTCAGGATGCGAAGTCTGTCCCCGACGCTCGCGATGCCCATCTCCTTCAGCGTGAGCTGGTCGAGCTCCAGCAGGACGTCCCCGCGGATGTCGTGTTCCCTGAATGTCCTCGCATGATGTGCGCACTTGATGTCGGCCAGCCAGCGCGCAACGTGCGCGTCGGACCACACACAAGGGAACTCTGCGAAGGTCATACCCAAGGGCGGCTCGAGGGCCGGGGCACCAACCTGGAATCCACTGGCATTGCCAGAGGCAGAGCCATTTGTAATGGGCGCGCGCGACTGGCTGTAGGAGGAACGGGTCGGGGAGGTCGGGGATGAGGCCTGTGAGGCGGGCTGGTCGTCGATGGGCTGCAGCATTATGACAACGACAGCTGTCATGTTGATCGTCGAAGGCGCTGGCGTAAGTCTTATCCGCGATATATAGAAGATTTAGGCGAAAACCAGAAGCGTCGACTCGGATGCCCGCGCACGGCTATCGTGCAGTGGTGAGAACCGGCGTGGCGCAGCAGCTACAGCGTTGTTCGGAGTTGCAGACTAGCAGTTCATTGCAAGATATCAAACGCGAGAAGAGGTACGGTTTGAGTCGGGAATGTGAGCTGCGGGAGGTCAATGCGTAGAAGACAAGGAAACAAGACGTCGAGTGTAGCAGAGCGCGATGCCGGGGTTCGCGTGAGAGTTGCTCTTTCCCCCCATTGGCGGCGACGCGCTGCTATGCTTTGGCCTGTGTCTGATTGTTTAATTTGCACGCTGTGATTCCGTCCTAACAAGCCTTGCTCTTCACACTCGTCGATGGGGTTGACGCAAAAGAGGAACTCTGCGGGTGCTTCAAAGCTTCCACCGCTTGAGCAGAACCTTTGACAGCATATAACGCCGCTGGAGACTAATACGGATACGTCCGCGCCCGAATATAGGACTCGTGGCGCTCACTACTTCAGCAGCGCTCCGGGAGGCGGTGTGTAGAACCTGTACGTAGAGCAGTGCATCCGTGAAGGGGCCTGTGGCATCGATAATACCCTTTGCGCGAACTTCGAATTCCTGGCCGGTGAATTTGTCTTGTACCCGTGAGCCGTAGAGCTTGCCAGAACCAGCTTCCTTCTGCAACGAAGTGACCTCGACGTGGTTCGCAGCAATCGCGCCTTGCTGTACTGCCGTCATGATTAAAGCGAGTTCATCCGTGAATCGTTATGTTGACCTGTGAAACACGTCATAAGCCTGATACTGCGACATTGAGAGCCTGCTTGACATACCGTCATAGTAAACCAGCGCGCCTACGAGGCCATCCTGTCTAAGCATCGGGAACGTCTCCAAAGCTTTGCCCTTGCTCATGAGATACGAAGATTCCATGTTCTCCTTTCCAGCCAGCACGTAGTACATCTTGCATCCAACCCAATAGTAAGGGACACTGCCAGTATCTGATGCGAATGTCACCACATGCAACCAAAGCGAGAGTAAAATATACGCACTTGTAGATGGGTAACATGATGGGTAACATAGTCGATAGGTATGGTGCTGTATGGAGGAAAATGCGGCAAGGCCTCACGGAATAGCTTGTATTGCTCGTAGTCGAGCTCCATGACAGCCTTCTGCAGATAGCGCACTCCTCCATGGACCAGCTTCGTCGACTTTGAGGAGGTGCCTGTAAGCAAAGTGATGGGAGTCCATGCTATTATCGAGAATTCTCCGGGATAATCGTCATCTTTCTTCTTCGACGACGCCTTAAGCGCATCGAGCATGTGCTGCCTCGAGGGAGGCATCCATGGTGGAGGGGATCTCGTGGTGTCTTTCGTTGCGGGAGGGTAGGTGGGCCCCGAGTTGAGGTAGCAATACCCTCCTCCGGCGGCAAGGAG